CCTAAACTTTGCAAGTGCTATAGATGCACAGTCACTCCACTAATATTCTATTAAATAAAACCCAAAAAAAACCAATAGAAATCTTCCAATATCTTTTTGTGTAGAAAAATCTTCCAACAGCCATATTCTGTAAGAAGATTAACAATCACATTTGGAGACAGGAGGCAGGTTTGGATCTCTACTTTCCTACCCCTACATGTTGTTCAAAGTGTATCTGCCAGCTACCTCTCCAGTGGCAGCTTTCAGCTCAGATCCAAGCCTCTACCAAGAAGGCAACATGGGACATAAATACTCTTTCAAAACCCCCATTTAATATTGCTCCTACAAATGGCAGCAACCAACAGCAATGCTGGCACCTGGTTTGCTCTTTATGTCATTTTGGAAGAGGCCTACGTGTTTCCCCAAGACATGTAAGTTTAATAAATATGACATAAACAAAACAATTTCATACCAAAATTGTGTTTGAAAAATGAGAAGGATCTATTGATCATGTTTTCCTCCAGATAAGCCCCAGGGCACAACAGTTCCATGCACTCACTGTGATTATCTGCTGCCTGCTCAGCTGTTCTCAGTACAGTAAAATTACTAAATTACAGCCTTTGTGATATTTCTCAGTGCCACTAACTGCAGCAGCCACCACAAATATTTTGATTATAACCTGCAAAATCAGGATCTCCCAAGTCACATTCCACCACAAGAATTCACTGTGATTCACTATCCTCTGTCTTCAGCACAAGCACAGCTTTTTTATCCCAACTCATTAGTGGTATGTGAGCACTAATATATGGCATGTTCAAAGAGCTAACAAAACACCAAGTTTAACCCTTTTGGTGCACAATTCACCCAGTGCATTTGTTTGAAACATGAAACAAGAAGGACAGAATATAGCTAGGTCCAACTGGCCAAGACAGTTCAGTAGTAAACAAGCCCCCAAAGCAGCTGGTTGATATTTCTGACAAAACACACCTCAGGCCTCAGACACTCGGTCAGCTGAGCAGCAGCAATGAGAGGATTACACGAGTACAGTATCCTGGCACACACTCCCAACACAGCCCTAACACAGCTCCAAATGCCTCCTTCATGCATGATCAAAGGATTACACCATTTATACCCCACTCATCTCTCCGTTTGTGCCTAATTACATGTAACCTCTGCAGCACAACCATTCACCTGACAGAACACTTGTCAGTGACTTCACTGCCAGCCCAGCACCCCATGAGAAGGAGCAGCTGTGTGCTGGCTGCCAGCTGGGGCAGGGTTCAGCACTCTGCAGCTCTCCCGGGCTGGCCCGTGCCAAGGACAGGCTGCAGGGCAGGCAGCAGCAGCTCAGTCTCTGGGTGGCTTTTTCAAATGCTAAGACACTCCTAGAAAAGCAACTCTGCTTTCCTCAGACAGGTTATTAGTTCCCCAGGCAAGGGATTGACCAATTGGTTACCCATGTGTGTGGTTGCTGATTGAGCATCGGCTATTTTGGATTAACCTCTCACTGTCTAAGGCCCACCTCACATGCTGAAGCAAGGCTAAATTCAGATGCTCCATCAATATGAATCTCCAGAATGGGCTTGTTTTTTCCTCAAACAGTCTAGCCCCGAAATGTACAAAGATCCTGCACCTGAATGTTAGATGAAATCTCCATTTACAAATTCATTTCAGAAAAGATATTTTAGTAATTAATTTAGTCTGGGTCATTAAGGTATGCCTGCACTTGGAAATCTACCAAAAAAACAACTTCCAGAGGAACTACAGAAGTTTGGAAGTACACAGCTGAATCCAGTTGGTAGATTTTGTATTTTTTCCAGAGTAGAATAATTATGGAGGCCTGGATAAACCTGGAGTGACATGCTAGCATTAAACAAGGTCAAAATTTGTTTATATTGAAACACATTTACAGAAGGTCATTCTTTTGCAAAGGAATGAAATTGTACAAGAACCTTGGGAAATGCACTTTGTAATAAACTGCCTGAACAGAATCCAGGAGTGTGCAAACAGAAAGTGTACACAGAGAAAGAAAGGAAAATGCTGCACAGAGTGAACACTCAGACTTTGTGCCACAGAGGTCCCAAGCCCACGGCACAGTAACCTCTGACACACTCCCAGAGACAGCTGCAGGCTCACCAGAACATGGGCACTGACAGGACTCAGCTACAAAACCAAGCAAGTGTCACTGCCTGAACTGCTGCCTTCTGGTTTGCTTCACAGGCTTTCAGTACTGGCAAGCTATTTTAAACAAACTGTTTCTTATAGTGGTTTAAACAGCTGAATAAAGCAGAGAAAGGTTTAAAATAAATGCCATTAATTTATATCACTGGAAAGAAATAGAGACTCCAGAGCCTCGCTATGCACACAACTGTGTTCCATACAACCCCCACTGCCAGTCAGTAATTTGGAGAAGCCCAAGCTGCACCTCAATATACATTGCCACCAATTATCTTTGAAGAGACTCTGCAGCTCACAAGAAATACAAAGTTTCTCTTTCCCAGCTCGCCAGAATTTTACAAATCTCTAAGTCAACTTAGTCTAAACCAATACAACCAATATAAAAAAGACATAAGGAACACATTGTAGTTTCACTATTGTCAGAAATTAAGTCAAAAAACTTTCTTCACACAAATCCAAATCACAGTAAGGGCAAATTCCATATGAGAAATGTGCATCAGACAACAAAATCAGAAGTCAGGAGAGGGTTATTCACACATTTCCTTTGGCCTTACTCTTCTTCAACATTTGTTGAGAATTCAGCCACGTTTTTGTAAAACTAGCACTACATTCATGTAGCTCAATTAAAAAGACCATTTCTTATGAAGTGAAACACTAAACAGCCTCTACAAGCTGACCACAAAACAGTGTCTCCTTCCCATCAAACATCCTTACAAATGAACAAACACAACTGAACTGCACCTCGAGTACTCTGCTCCTTATGCTTGGCATATTTCCTCTCCCGAATACTCATGTCCTGTAACACCAGTAAATTCTTTTTTGGCTAACTCAGATATAAATAACACAGTTCCCTGACATGGTACATGTTGTCCAGGCCTTCCACACCTCAAGTGGGAAAACTCCTGCACTATCACTTACATTTTGATGTCAGTTTTCCCCCTAGGCCTATGAAGACTCCAGCTGAACTTGAAATTACTCAAAGCTGCAAACATTTAGGATCACCCACTACACTGGGTTCCATTTATTTGCTTAAACTTCTGTAATTTTCCTAGTTGAGTTTTCCCAAATAAATACAGGAACTAAGGAGTAAGTGGAGATGTTAAGTGGCTCATAAAACTTATTAAGATCAAGGTGATAGGTTTAGCAAGGTTGATAGAACATAAGCCTACTAATTTTAGAAACTCCTGGTGACCTTTCAAGACTAAACTATGGACTTTTTTTTCTTCAGAGGTTTTAAATGTCAGTGACTAGATAGTTTCCCATCAGTCTTAAGACATGAAGACCCTTAAATACATAGCCACACACACAGAAGATGCCAATGCCACATCCAGTGACAACTGGAGCACGTCTAAAGACCAAGGCTGGCCAGGCTGTAACGTCCTGTTCTCATTCTGTTCATTTCCAGTAACAGAAGCCAGGCTTAAAATTGTAAAATGAAAATACTTCTAAAGAATCACGAGACCATAAAGTAATACAGGAACTGCAATGTCAAAACAAATGCAACATTATGAAAAGGCTGCCACAGAAGAGATGTCCAAAAACAATAACACAGGGCAACATAGAACTGTAGAAATCGTTACCAAAAGCAAAGTTTAGTCCGAACATCCAAGGCATAAAAGCAAATCCTGAAATCTTTACACCTCTTTAGTCACAACTGAAAAGGCTCACAACCACCAATACTTCTCCAGCAACAATTCACAAACCCAACTTTTAAACAGGCTAAGGTGACACAATGTGTTTAGTGCCAGGACTAAAATAAAGATGTTCTGAGCCTTAGGCGATTGTTCTTGCCAGTACAGAAAAACAGAGCATAAGAAGCAGCAATGCTAGAGAAGAAGCCCAGCAGCACAGGAAAGGGTGGGGAGGAGGTAACAAACTCAGGTGAGAAAGCACAGCTTCTAGTCAGGTTCTCCTTTAAGTGGAGACAAGGGGTTTTGTTGGTTTTTTTTTAATGGTACAAAATCCTGTTTCACTGAGACGATATATTACTGGCTTCCTGTACTTACAGCATTTTTTCACTAATACCATTACCATAATTGTGCAATTGTATTCACTTTTAATCACTTTCTGGCGGAACACTAGGTTGTTTTTGTCCTTTTGTACTCTTACTGTAAGAGTGGAATGAAGAAACACTGTTAAGCTTCACGATGTTACACACGGCCTTTACATTGACTCTGCCAGCAATACTTATAGGATAATAAAATCTCAACAACTTTCGTGTCAGAGAGCAAGAGTCAAATAACCTCTGATACAGATATGGGTTTATCGTTATCTAGATGGAAGCATGTTTTTTAACAACAACACAAACCACTCCTGGATTTCATTCCAGGGCTTCTGAAAAGAAGAATGCTATTTATGAACAGCACCATCTCCCGAAGTGCTCCTGAATGTTACACAAACAGGTCTCCCATACAAGCGCGGATAAGAGTTCATGCCCGAGCTTTAATTAAGCCGATCTCAGCACGGCAGATTCCAATTTTCACGCTAAGACCATTAACTTACTCTCCCCTTCACTCGCTAAGCTCACAAACCGTCAGGCCAGGAGCTCTTATTTTGATCCCATCGCAATGGCAGCGATGTCAGGGCTAATGCTGGCGGAGGGGCAAGCCCGGCTCTCCCGGCTCCGCCGGCCGTGGGCGAGGCGAGCAGCGGCTGTTTGCCGGCCACCGGCAGTCGCCGCCGCGCCCGGGCCCGGGGGTGGCAGCGCGGGGCCTGCGGGGCCGGGCCCCGGCCGCGCTCCCGATGCGGGCCGAGGAGCCGCGGCCGAGGAGCGGGCCCTGCGCGCCGGCCAACGCTGCCCGGGAGCGACCCCCACACCCCCAGCCCGCGGCCCCGGCACTCACCGAAGTCGAGGAACTGCTTGATGGAGAGGGGCGAGGGGGAGAAGCGCGAGTAGTACTCGATCTGCTTGGGGATGGGGTTCTTGAGCAGCGCCCCGCACAGCCGCATGGCGCGGCCCGCACGGCTCCGCTGCGCTCCCGCCGGCGGCGGCTCCTGCCCGGGCGCGGCCGCTCCGCGCTGCCCGTCGCGCTCCGCGGCCCGGCCCGGCCCGGCGGGAGGGGCGAGCGCCGAGCCCGCTCCGCGCACGCGCACGTCGGCGCGCGGGGGACGGGGCGGGGCGGGCGCGTGAGGGGAGCGGGAGCGGAGCAGGGCTCGTGTGGGGAACGGCGGGTGGGTCAGGCCGGCCTCGGTGTGACAGTCACTGCCCTCAGTCCAAATGGCCCTTGGAGTGACAGTCACTGCCCTCAGTCCAAATGGCCCCTGGAGTGACAGTCACTGCCCTCAGTCCAAATGGCCCTCGAAGTCACAGTGCCCTTAGTCCGAATAGTCCTTGGAGTGACAGTCACTGCCCTCAGTCCAAATGGCCCTAGGAGTCACACTGTCCTCAGTCGAAATGGCCTCGGCGTCACAGCCACTGCCCAGTCAGGTTGGAGAAGACCCCTGGGACCATCGAGTCCAGCCTGTGCCTGACCACCACCATGTCAGCCCTACCGTGGCGCTGAGCAGCACATCCAGTCTTTCCTTAAATGCCTCCAAGGACGGTGACTCCAGCACCGTGTTGTCCACAAAAATCAGATTCGTGACCTGCTGTGTGAAAAGCCAATAATAATAGAGAGAGAGAGATATATTATTTTGTTTCAGGATTGGGCAGGCTTGTGTGCTCCGTGGTATTCTATGAATCAAGCACATAAACTATCAAAACTTTTTACTAATTATAGACTTTAGTGAACAAAAGAATTAGTGGTCATTGGCTACAAGTTACATAGCTCTCTTATTAACCAGTGTTCTATTGGCTAATGATTCTCTCTCCTGCCATGCTAATTAGACCTCTCTTCTGGTAAAGTGGCCTTGCTGGGTCAGTAGGCAGTGAGTCAGTGGTCCCAATCTCCCCCTGCCAGAATTTCCTGTTACCCAGCTGGAGCTGACTCAGCACAATTGCTGAGTTAGCTTTATTTGTTTCTTCTTCATGTCGGGAGTTCTGCCAGATGTCCTTGTGGCCCATAAATTCTGCATTCTTTGTGTCCACTATCAATGGACATCCTTCTCCCCAAGCTTTGTTAACCTCCCTCTACATCTCAAATCATCACAGCGTGTCAAGCCCTAAACCTTAACAAGGCAATTCCACCAATTGTTTTTCTAAAGTTGTTTTTCTGACAGCTGGGCATCACTTAGAGCTTGCTGGCTAGCTGCTGTTTCACAGATTAAATCTCCTGCTTCTTGATTAAGCTTGAACATATACAAGTCAAACATCAAAGAACAGTCTTTCTTGAGCAGATTTTATCTATTCCACATTTTGCAACAACACCTTGGCTGTCCACTCCATTATCTAATTACCCCTTCTGTGAAGAAATTCCTCCTGATGTCCAGCCTCACCCTCCCCTGGCAGTTTAGAACTATGCCCTCCTGTCCTATTGCCTGGGAGAAGAGCCCGAGCCCCACCTGGGTACATCCTCTGTTCAGGTTTGGCATGGACCAGTTAATATGTCCCTGCTGGTCCATCAGAGGGTGCCTGCCCAGCTGCCTTCCAGCCAAAATACAGCCCTCAGGTATCCAGTGAGTTCTACAGCGGGTGTGAGGCTGGCAGATCAAAATTCACTGTGTGTGACAATAGTTGAAATTTTCTGAAAAAGTCCCATTTTTATCTGAGAAAGCATCTGAATACAATTAGAATTAATTTTGATGACTAGAATCAAAAATGAAGCGAGGTATTGGAGAATCAAAATGTATCACTGAATGCAGTCACTGACTGGTTTTTGCTGTGATGTGGTTTAGGTACATTTAAGACAAATAACTGGTGACCAATTCCTTATATTTCTCCAGTGAATTCAATGTAAGCTTCAGCAGGTACAAGATAGTATTACTCTAATTTTATAACTGATTTGCAAAAGAAACCAGTACTCTTCAATTACTGGAAATCTTTCTCCATCCTTTCTGTCATGATTGTCCTTACAGAATTTGAGACTGAGAAATCCTGACCTAATGTACAAAATAACTGGAAAGCATTTTAAAATCACTTCAATTGCAGCTTATAGGAATGACTGGCTTGAAGAGGCATGTCATGTAATCAAGACTGACAAAATGAATCATCTACTGTAATTCTGAAGCTTTTTTGGCAGGTGGGAAAAAGTGTTTTAAAACTTTTGTTATATACTCATCAGGATTTGATTGTGATTCATTTAGAGCATAACTCTTAAATCAGTTGTGGAATTATCTGGCAGAAAACAATATCTTTTTTTGTTAAAGACAGAACCACATTTCCCAAATTAAGATGAAATTAGCAACTTCAAAGTATGATTCATTATCAGCATTTAAAACACTTGATTTTATGTATCTTTCAAATTTTAAAGTAATTCTAATGTGATTTCAGCTTCAAAAAGTAACAAGAGAACAGTTGTCTGTATTGACTTGTCTTTCTAAACACAAAATCATTTTTGCAGTATAAAGCATCACAGCATCATTTTTTGGAAATTTCTTAATCCTATGTTAGCCGACTCATGTGAAAAATTGGAATTGTTTTTGTCTATGGTGATACAGACTAAAACCACAATGAGGACATGCACAAAGTCACTGCAAAACAGAGGTGTGCTCTTCTCATCAGACTCCCAACAGCTTCTCTCAGCTCTGGAGAAATTGATGACATAACCAACAGATTGAATTTTCCAAAAACTGTTCAAACACACACTGCAGAGACATTCAAACCCCAGAGCCACCCAGCAGCTCTTCATGGCCTTGTGCTTAAGAAGACTGCAAGACTTGCTTGAGAGAACATAAAATGCACATGGGAAGGGCTGTGGTTTTACCAATGCAAGACAGCAGCAAGCATACACATAAACCTAGTTCTTAAATGATCTATCTAAATAAAGAGAAATTAGTGGTATAAACCATGAAAAATACAAAATGTCACTGGGATCAATAGGATTAAATGAGAAGCTGAGTTTTGCTTTTTGGACCAGCTGAATTTCTCATACCTCATACCTGCCTTCTTTATGTATTTCAGAACATATTTGGTGCAGAAAAGATTCCTGAACTCATTCTGTGAGTGCCCCCCTGCATCTTTGTTTAAATGTTAAAAAATTTCTACAAGCATACAGGAAAAAATATATTTACCCCTTAAGAAAATTTGATTTTAACATTGATAACATCTAACACTGCTGAACTTCTCTGGTGTTTTTATCATCTCTCTTTTACTGAGGGTATTATTTTCATATTTTCCAGTTAGATTCAACTCTGGAATAACTAGAATTAACCAAGGGGTCAAAGATGACTCAGCTTTACATGGCCATTTAGTAGCTAGAACAACTTAGTCAGTTCGGTTAGGATCTGTGAGCACGCAGGCAAGTGGAAGCCTCAGCACCTGTGAGGGCATGAGGGTCTGGGTATGGGCACTGGCCAGAACCCTGCTCTGAGGACAAGTGCCTGTGGTGTCCTGGCCTAGGGAGCACCACCCATCCCCACTGCCCCTGCCTTGCTCCCAGGGAGCCCCAGACGCAGAATGGAATCTGGTTTTGTTGGGCCACCGCCGTGACAAAAGAAAAGGATAATTAAATCTGAGTAAACAATCTTGCCTTAATAATTTTTGTTGGTTTTCTGCATTGGAGTTGGTATAAAATCAATTATTCTAACTCACAAACCACAGAAATTCTGAGAGGGAAAAGCAGCAGAGGTTTTGCTGCAGAGTGATTCCCTAAAACAGAGGAACTGATGTAGAGAATATTTGCAAAAGCAAAGCTTTTTGGTGTTTCCTACCCTCAGAAATTTCAAGCACTGACTGTTGATCACTGGATTTAGTAGAAATACTTAAAAATTGTCCTCTCCTGTGTTTGTGTTTTAGCTATGATGGGAGGGAGGGACTGGGTACCCTAGTGACAGAGTGTACATGGGAGAGCCTTTGCTCTTCCTTGGATGGGGCTTCTCTTTATTTGTGAATTCAGTGGAGCCAGGGAGATAAATAAGAGACCTTTCTATGACTGGTAACCAGAAAATTAAGTTACCAGAAAAAAAAAATTCTCCCTCCGTTTGAGTTTTCTTAGCCCTTAAAGTGCTAAGAGAGAGAGTGCTAAAAAGTTAAAATTAGAAACTCACTCCTACAGAAATTTATAGTCAAACTTTGTATGGAGATTTTAAAAGATGCTTTTTTGTTCCATTTTCAGATCTTGTTCTTTCTGGAGTTTTATATTACATGCACTTGTTTTCAGGGATCAAAGCTTTTGCATGTAGTATTTCACCCAAGTAACATTTATTGACAGTGAAAATTTCAGACCTTTAAAGGACTAGAGCCTTAATCTTCTTAACAAAGCTTGTTTTATTTCACTGCAGAATACACAGTAGGTCTATAAACTAGCTGCAGGGGATTCAGCATAATGAACTTCTTTGTATGGATGTCAGAGGAGGGGAAAAGTAATCTTAAACTGTAAATCAAGAAAACATGGTTATTAGTGTTTTCTAGACACATTGACTTCATGGAATTCATTGGGTTTTTTCTTTTTTCTTTTTTTTTTACCAAAAAATAAACCTATATTGAAGTTAATATAACCCCTATTTCTTAAAGTTCAGAAGCACTGATTGAGAATGGGGATAATACAATAGAAATATGAACAATAATAATAACCAATAACAGTTATTTGGAAGAAATTTACACAGAAAATTATACTCCCAAAGTACCTCTTACAGGATGACAGAAAAATCAGCACAGAACAGGAAAAATTAGTATAGAGGACGTTTCATACAAATTCCTGCTCTTCACAGTAGTAATATTTGTCAATAACACTATTGTATTTTCCTACCTGGCATTATATGCTCTTAAGGGTAGATTCAAGTAGTGGATCAAAACCACAGTGGGAACATATGGAGTGAGGAAGGGATAAGGTTCTTTACTGAAGCTTTCCTGAACTTCAAAAAGGATCTGGTTTTATTTTTAATAATTTATCACTTCCTAGTATTTGTGCACTCCAGTGGGTAACTTTGGAAGGACTGTTACCCACAATGTCCAGAAGATTGATA